ATAGAAAGAATTTAAGCATCAGTTATAGTGGGAGTGAACGATAATAGTGGTGGTGGGTGAGTGGTAGTAGCGGTAATGGGGTGGCGATGCTAGTGATGGTGAGACGATAGGAATAATGGTGATGGTTGGACAATGGCGGTGGTGATAGGGTGGTGATGGGGTGGAGGTGACGGTTATGGGGATGGTGGTGGTGAGCATAGTGGGGATGGTGGTGGTCTGGCATTAAGGGTGGTGGTTTGGTGGCAAGGGTAGTGGTGGGGTGGTGACGACAATGGTAATGACAACGGTGGTGATAATATGGGGCAGTGAAGGCTGTTGCGGTAAAGGTGGTGGAGGGGTGACAGTGATGGTGGTAAAACGGTGGTGGTGGTGGTGGGGTGGGGTGGAGGTGACGCTGGTGGTGGCTGTAATGGGGATGGTGGTAGTCGGGCGATAGAGGTGATAGGGGGTGGTATGGTGACAACAGCGATAGTGGTGGTAAGAGGCGGGAGGGTGGTGATGGTGGTGGGTGGGGTGGAAGTGTTGGGGGGTGACATTTGTGGTGGTGGTGGGGTGGGTGACAATGGAAATGGTAGTGGCGATGACGGTGGGGGGTAGTTTGGTGGTGGGGTGGCGGTGGTGGTGGTAATGGTAATGGTGGTGGGAGGTGATGGTGGTGGTGGTAGTGATGATGGTGGTGGGACGATGGGGGTAGTGGAGGTGGTGGGGTGATTTTAAATACTATTTTAAAAAAAAAATATTTATGAGAAATTATGAATATTAAAAGTATTTTTAAAAAGTCATCCCAAATACACTTTTAGGGCCCTATTTTCTCTATTAAATTTAGAGTGTTAATATTAGTCGTCGGATTAATTTTAAAAATTGAAAGAGATCTCAACCATGAATAACAAAAGTCATTTTGTTTATCTTTTGAGATTTAAATTATATTATATTTTATAATATAGATATGTCCTCGCAACTAATGGATGCGTGTTTATCCTTTCATTTTTATAATTGCAATTGATTTTTACTATGCGTCGTGACCACGAGTACCGTTGCTTTGAGATAGCGGCGGCTCCACAGTGGAGGCCAGCTGCCCCCACTGGAGTTTTAAAAATTAAATTTTGTAGACTAAGGATAATTTTAAAAAATATAAAATTTATTAGAGTTCGCGTTGGTCCCCTGATCTGTCCACTGAGGAAATTCCACCATCGGAACCCCAGAAACCAAACTCTCCACTGTAGAATTCCACCCACAGTGTGTCACAAAACACCCCAGTGAAGGGTGTGATAACATCTCTAGTTGAGAACACCACGGCACTATCATCCCTTGTTGCTCCAATTCCTCCATGCAACTTAGTTTATCTTCGTCTTTCTCTTCTTCTCCATACTCCTTCACTTTAATCACCCACAAAAATGGCCTGCAACTCTCTAACAAGCCTCGAGCGATCTCTTCCATTTGCTTTCTTGGTAGAGACAGAATGCTTCCAAAAGATACATAAACAACTGATGATTTAGGCTTCGAGCTTATCCACTCGACATAAGAGTTTGATTTCTGAAAGAGGTCACCTCCAAAGGAAGTGTCTAATGGCTCTTTTCCATCCAAGAAAGCAGAAGGAATTAGTGGCCCAAACCCAATCAAATTGTACTTATCAATGGCCTTTAAGGCTTCTGGCTCTAGTGCATCGAAAGAGTTAACAAGAACTGTTGGGTTGGTTTCTTCATCTAGTATTTCCAATTGCTCTTGAAATGATTGGAGGGCATTGAATTCGTCTGAGTTTGAAGGGAGTAGAAAGGAGGGAAGGTCATGGATTTTTAGCAGTGGCAATCCTGGTAGCTCAATGGACCATGATGGCCAGGGCGGAGCCAGGAATTTTGCTCAAGGCACTTTAATTATGCACTCTAATTTTTTTCCTTCTAACCAATCACACTATATAACATATTTATATTTATTATATTATATTTGATACATGAAGGTCATTTAACATAAAAAATTCCAAAAAAAAAATATATATTGTCAGGGGCGAAGCCATGAATATCCATGATAAAGGCAAAATATAACTGGTATAAAAAAATATTTAGCCGAAATTAATACAAAAAAAATCAGTTCAAAAATTAAAAAAAAAAGTATGACTCAACACTAAATTATTGTAAAATAATAAATTCAATTCAATTTTATTTAGCGGAAACAAAATCTTAACAAAAAGACACCAAATAATTTTTTTAGTACATTTTAACCTAATTATATATTTCAATAAAATATAAAAAATTTTAAAATCTCTAAAATTTTGTATATGAATTAAATGTAAATTAATTTTTCACTAATTTTCTATCAATGCGCACAATCACAAATACGTAGTAAAATTAATCTTTATTTAGTTACAAAATTTAGTTGAGATCATTATCAATCTTATAGAGAAATTTCCTATTCAAAATAGTTTGAAATATTTTTGGGTTACAACCTTTTGTTTTTTGTATACAATTGTATTTTATTAGGTTATAGACTACTATTACTAAAAAAATGATAAACGAAAACTAAAAATTATTCTTAAAAAGTAACGAACATTGTGTTAGATAAAGATAAATATTGTATTTTTGTCAATATACAAAAAGAACATTGACTCAATCCAAAACTAACATATTTTATTTTAGAAGGTTAGTGGTTCACTAATTTATTAAAAAAAAAAAAGACTAGAACCATTATTAAAATTTCAAAAAATTTAGGGGGTAAATATAATGCATAAAATAATTTTATAAGTTGGTGCAAAGAAGGCCAAAAAAACTCAAGGAACTGAGCTTCTCTCTATTTTTTCTCTTTTTCTTGTGGCTGGGCAGTGGGCAGTGGGCAGTTGGGAGTGAGTGATACAGAGAGGAAAAAAAAAAGGGAAAGATAAGATAGGTTTTAGTCAAGTGGGCCAAAAGTTTTGTTTTTAATTTTGGACCAAATATTTTGTTTTTAATGTTGAGCTAAATGTTTTGTTTTTTAAATAG